GGATACAGAAAGGTGATGAAGGGATAGAAGTGAAGCCAGGATGGAGCGGCCAGCCTGGGAATGTGGCTGATCCAACAGCGCTTGGATCAAACACCCTTCCAGCATGGAAGGGCTGGACTCAACTGGGGCTGCCCCGGCTGGAGAGAGAGATGGAGAAGCATGGTAGAAGGGATTGTTTTGTTTTGAAACATGCCTGTGGAAATATGGCGCTCACAGTATCCACTGCTTGTGTTATATTTTCTTGAGGGAGCTGGCATCATGGTCTCTGCATGCTCTGCAACCTGCCAGATGGGAGGAGGGTGCAGAGTCTGGAATTTAAAGCTCAAGAGTGGCAGCTGGGTACCTGCCCCTGTTCCCGTCTCTGTCATTAACCTCCTCCTGTTAGCATGGCCAGGTCACACAAGACTTCCAAGTGAATCCCAGGGAAGCAGGCGCACCACCTGAGGGAAATCTGGGAGCTGCTGAATGCATCACTACAGCAGGCATTTTGGAAAAATGTCAGGTTTTCAGTTATGACAATGACTGGGGCTGCTACATTCCCCTGGCAGCTGGGCTTAAGCGAACACCACCCTGAGACAAACATTTACCTACAGGGTCTCTGAAAAGTTGAAGATGCAGACAATAAATAGTAGCACCCAGTTGTCTGTAACACAAGCTGTCCCAAAGAGCTGGCCAAGGCATCGGATAAGGTTGAGCACGAGCACAATTTACCTTCAACCTCATAAGCATAGCTGTTTTCCACAAAGATGAAATTAAATGTCCTTCTGTATGGCTAAAAAGACTCCCTAGAGCTGAAGTGGTTCACTAATTAAAATAGCTCTTTGTCCAAGGTTAGCAAGTCAAAAAATTGCAAGGGCTGCATTGTCACAAATTCAGTAGATGTTGTGAAGGGAGACAAAAGACATACAACCAATACATCTGCAAATCTCTTGCTGAATCTCCATTAATCCTCTGCATTCCAGATATCAGAGCAGTCACGCTGGTCTGGGGATCTGCTTCCAGTTGGTCAATAGCAACAGCAAAATCTTTAAACCTCCTTTTGATCCAGACATAAGTCACATAGTATCTGCATCTCACAGAGCAGCCCTGGGTTCTTCTGACCTGCTGCCAGCCGGAGATGCTGTACGCAGAGCTAGCGGGACAGCGTGGCACAGGGAGTATCCTAATGTCCGGAAGCACCACTGACTCCCAGCTCCATCACTTATTCATGAGTTGTTATTCACTGCTGAAATGCTGCCAATCTGTACTACACAGGCAGGCAGGCAAGATGATCATATGGGTACACAGCAGCTCTAGCCTGTGAATGAGGTGTGGTGCAGAAGCCAGGCTGATTGCCATGGGACAGAGAATATCTAGGAGAGCTGCTTCAGATCTCCAGGCTTCCCATCTCCAGGCTGGTAGCGTTTGCAGCATGCATTAAGTATCTAACAAGGAAAAACAAAGGAAAGAATGGGAAATAATTTGCTATCCTGCATTTTCTCCTCTTCCGCTGAATGGGAGAGGCAGGGTTTGCAGGATTCCCTTCCTGTGTTAGACTGTACCTCTCTGGAGATTTACTTTTGTTTGTTCCAGAAATGTTCAGGTTAGGAGCAGAAAGAGGTCTGAGACATGGGAGTTGAGGAATATTTGGCCCCTACCCAACTGTACACCCCAGGTGTTCCCTGATCACCATATACACACAGCTTTTACACTGCAATGCAGATATGTTTGTGTGTGCACCATTTTCCTGAGTGGGTTCTGATCACTTCTCCCAAGCTGCTACACCTCTGGGCTCCTCAGAGCTGAGAACAGGTGAAGACATTTTGAGAAAAAAACCACATGTGTTTTAGCAGAAAAGTACCATTTTACCAAAAACAACCCCTCACTGTAATTACATAAAGGTACTTCTCATAATAACCTAGATTCCTCTTTTTGCTGCTACTTTGAAAGCCTGCTATGATTACAATAGGATATAATGCAAGATCAACACAGTTTATGTTTATAAATGCATGTAAAATATATTATGCTCTATCGCAATTCAGAATTGCATCCTGGGTATATCCTTACAATGTCCAAAGTAAAAAAACCTAATGATCCCAAAAGGCTGTAAGGAAATCCAAGAGGCCTGTGGGCATGTGGGAATTTATGTCCATAGCAACTCACATTAACACCGATGGGAGTTAAAGCACATCAATCTTTTGTACACTCAGATGAGAACACCATGAACCAATTCTTTCCTGACTTAAATCCAGTATTGATGGAAGTGACATGAGGCTGCAGAAGGTGTAGATCAGGGAAGAATCTGAACTTCTGGCTACTTCTCTATTTAATCCTTTTAAATCTGCTCTGCCACCACCATCAAAAATAGTCTCATTTCATTCCACCAGCGTCCAGAGGATGGGGTGGAAAAATTAGGATCTGTTTTATCATTTGTTAACACTGCCACAAAGCAGGGGATTCTGAACAACCAGACCTTAAAATGAACCGTATAAAGCAGACTCTTCATCCTTCCTCTGAGGCTCCACGCAAGATATATATGAAACAACAGCAGACATGGGTTACAGCTGGTATTTACGAGGTAGAAATAGGAGCATTTGAAGGAATAAATGTATTTTCTCCCTCTTTCACCTGCTTCATAGTTCTGATAAATTTAAAGCCCAAGTATGACCCACACAGGCCCTTGTTCTTTGTAATTGTTGAAAAGCAGAATAAATTAATAAACTGCAGAGCTCACTACTGCACTGCTGTAGCTAAACTGTTTTTGGTACATGAGCTAGCCTCATACATTGTAATAGTCTGGATTTACTCTACAAATGTCTCCAGTGAAATATATGAGAGTTCAGATATGTTTTCCCTTCCAGCCAGAGGAGCCTCTCTGTTCATCAGAGCCTGTCTCCTGGAATATGTTTAAAACTAAAAGATGCCTCATTGCCACTTGTGACTGGTCTTTAAGAAGTTACACCCCAGCACAGAATGAACACTGCTCTTTGCAAAGCTCTTTTCAGCTCTTCCAGAGACAAAAACTGAGCAGCTCTGACAGTGTAACTCCATTAAAAGGGTTTATTTGACCAGCCTAGTTTCATGCTTAAAATGCTTTTGGTCTCACTGCCCCACCGTCTGCTCTCTCGTGACAGCAGTTCTGCCACCCCGCTGGGATTTGCCCTCACTGCTGGTCAATGGGAGCTTCTCAGCCTCTTGGCTCTGGTCTGCCAGAGACGCACAGCTCAGCCAAGCGCAGGACCACTGATCTGCCCCAAATCCTTGGGCTACTCAGGCTCTCGGCTCTGAGACACAGCCATGAAACCAGCAAGTCCTGTCCCTACCCAATGCTTCAGTTTCCACTGCTGTAAATTATGTTTAGAGAAACTTGTTTCCCACTGTTGGGGCATATACACATCGTAAAAGCTCTGGGCATCTGAGGTACTACTGTATATGCACAATCATAAATAAACCCAACACCCAACTTTGTTTCGTATATGATCGGATTTTCTATTCTGGGTTATACAGGGAAGAAGCAGAACACTAGATCATGTTGCCTGTGGACTACACATGACCAAAAGCAATATAAATGTATAGGCAACTACAAACTCTGTACTAGCAGTAGAAAGTGAATAGTCTTAAGCAGACTCTATCATGGCCATAGTGGCCAAGCAACTTATAACATTCCTGTGGATTTAATCCCCTGCTTGTATTCCTGCCTACTTTTAAGTCAATCTTGCATGTCCATTGTCATTTTGAAATTCACATCCTTTGAATAAAGTCAGGAAAAAACCCCATGACTTCAATGTCAGCTGGCTTTAACATGTATAGCTCTTGTGATTTTGACTTTTCAAGCTGATCTTGCAACCTTTTAATGACTGTCTCTGTCAGAGTTTTCCTTCACTTCCCTTATCAGCAGGGTGACAACTCTTTGAACACTCTGAGCCAGCCCCTGAAAACACAGGGAAACTGTGTGGTTGGAAAGCCAACTCCATACTACAACAAGAACTGCAAATAAAGTGCATAAATCAGCAACTAAAGAGTTACTAAACACAAACATCCAGCTGCTGTTGTTACAGGATATCTACTCCTCCAATCTTTAGAAAGAACAATATATTGAATTAATACCCAAGAAATACAATTTGGCAAGGTAAGGTAAAATAGCTGATTTAAAGTCCTTTTTTACATTAGCCTTTAAAATTAGCAAATTTGGCTAAAGTCAGTGAAATATCCCACTTCAACTTCAGCTGGAGACAAAGTGGTTAGATAATTGTGGAGACCGGACAAACATTCTGACTTTGCTCCTGTGGTCGTAGGGGTTCACAAAGGCTAACAACATTAGGCTTCCTGTTAGTTAGGGCTAGCTGATGAAAAAAACATTCCCCGAGAAAATCCCTCCCGATTTTAGGACTAGGCATGAGTTGCAGGAAGTGCACTCCAGGCAGTAAAATGAGGGGAGATATTTCTTTCTTTCTGAGTTGTTTTACCCTTTGAACTGCCCTGAACAATTCCTTTCTGCACGCTGACTACCTGTAAGCAACTGTCATGTCATCAGCAGGAGCCCAAATTGCACTTTCAGAAAAACCCCTGAATCAAGCGCAGGGACAGTACAAAACTCTGCTCCCCCTCGCACCTCCGGCACCTGCTGCTTTGGAGCGGCACTGCTAGCGATGGACACAGACCTCACTGCGCCAGACTCTGTGCACACACAGAACAAAACCTCTTCACCCCAAGAGAGACTGCAACTGAAATGTAAGGGGCAAAGGAGCAGCTGAGTGCAGAGAGGCAGGAGAGACTGATTTTGTTTTCTCAGGCGAGAGGCAGGCAGAGCTGGCTGACTGCATTTGGACTTCCTCAGGAATTAAAAACGGCTGTAATTTTGCGCTCTTGTTTTAAAAAGTGAGGCTGCTTTATTCCCAAGGCAGACCTTTGTAGCAATGCTGAAAAGTGTTGTAATTGTCCCATCTGTTGTATTTCCTCATTGCTCACTCGAGCCCTCTCTCTCACATCCACATCCTGCTCCACACGGAAGCTGCGGGACCATGGCTGGTGATTCAGTTTTGCTCGCGGCCGTCTCTCTCCTTTCTGCCTTCCAGCAATGTAAGATCTGTGGGGGTGCTTGGCGGGGGCCTGGGGAGGTTTCCACCGGGGCTGAAGTGCTGGAAATTATTTTATGATAAACCGGCTGCTCCGCAACTTTAATTTCTGAGAAGTCCTAAAACTGTTCCCACCGGAGCACTGTTTACCTGCTCTATAGACTGAGAGGGAGTTGGCTCAGTGGGACAGATCACTTTTCCCTGTGGGAGAAACTCATCTGTTTTCAATTCTGTTTGCTGCCTCTTTGGAATTGTCCTATGATGAGAGCTTGTAACTAGCTGTAAAGTTACCCCAAAGCCACATTGTGTCTTGGTTTTTGATTACTATTGAGAACCTCAAAAGTGAGAGTAAATTTGTGAAATCAAATACGCCGATGCTGGACTGAAAGTGCTATAAAAACTGTTTCCTGAAACAGAGACGAATACTAAGTATCTGAAATGAAAGAAGAAAGCAAACCTTTATACCAGGCAGCCATAATGTCAGGTATTCCATATTATGTCCTCATCATTATATTTCTTTAAGATCTAAATGGATTTGTTTTATCCCATGCTGATATGCCACTGAGAATCAAGGACTAGGGAGAGAAGTGGGCAAGTGTGAGATGCTCTTTTTGTGGTCTATTGCTCTAAAACTGTGGTAGCATTTCTAATGCTTGTCATTATTTTCTTTGAGATATGTTGATTCATACAGTTGTGTTTACAGCAGGAAACAAGATACACTTTGAATGCATTTGGATGAGATTAAGAGCAAGTTAAAAACAGTTCCTCTGCCTTTTTTCGAATATCTATAGCACTGCCAATTTATCTAACAATGTATCTATGTGGCACGACTGGTTTTTTTTTCTCTCAGTCTCAGCTACTGAAATAACATTTGTACCCAGCAGAAAAAAAACAACAACTTGAGACTCCGACCCTTCCAAGTTAAAAGAAGCCCAAAACAACAGAAGGCAAATAAAAATCACCTCAGATTTACATTCTCTTTTTCTGTCATCAGATCAGCTACAACATACCCTTGCGATCTTTACAGACCATTTCTATCTGGTAGCAATATTTACCATCAACTTCTGTGAAAGTTCAACATGCCTGTCTTGATTTTAAATGTAGAAGTGTGAGGGATTAAAATCAAACAAGCAAACAAAGATAATCTGAAAAAAAAACAACCACTGCAGTCGGAAAACTCAAGGAATTGTACAGATGCTGAGACTGGAAAATATCTATGTTGTTCTTTGTGATGGTAAATCCATATTAGTTAATCTTAGTTAAATTCACAGCAAAACCAAGATAACCAGGGTTTTAATTTACATGAAGCCAGAAGAGAAACCTGTGTAAGAATCAGATCTGCTGATCTGATTTAAATCATCACAGCTTGGCTTACTTTCAGCATGCTTTCTAGCTTGAGTAAACCAACACGGATTAAATTTACAGGAGTTCAGATGAATGTTGTGAAGCTGGCACTGTGAGCATATGTTAAAGCCAGTTCAAGCAGGGGAGCAGCTCAGCTCTGTTCACTCTTCTGTTCGTTCTGCTGAGAAAGGTGCTAACGGGCAACACGACCTCCCTGGAGCAGTGCTGGGAGACAGGTTTCACTTAGCAGTCATCAGAGGTACAAGATTCAGTGTCTCAAAACCAGGAGTTGTTCAAAGAATCAGGTCAGGCAAAGATTAAGCTGTGCAAGAAATGCTCTAGGGTAGAAAGAAAGAACAAAAACAACACGGGAAGTGGTTTCCAGTCATGAATCCAGTTTTAAGCAGCTAAGATTGCCTTGGGACATTAGTGTTTTGCAGACTGATGGGAACACAAGGGAATCCAGTGAAAGGACAGGGTGAATCCCAGTCATTGATATTGGAGAGAACAGGGAGGACAGGAGTCCCAGTACTCCTCTATTTTGAAGCATCTCTCTGAACTAGCACCTTTTATAATCACTCTTAATAATTTCAGGATCCAGCAAGACATTATTAAGAAGTATTTGATTATTTCTTAAGGTTGTTAGGCCAGGCCAAGCAAATTAACATGCACTGTCATACACTGCGAAGCAGGTATCGGCTTCTCTACAGGCATTATAACACATATTAAGAGCTTGAGAATAATGTTCCTTGATAGCCTGCTTTGGCCTATATTTTTGGAGTAAACATATTAACTCAGTAACCATTAATGCCACCTGAAGATGAAAGCAAAAAAAGCAAACAAAGGCAAATCAAGCATACTTTGTAACTACCTCAGTCATGTAATTTAGCCTGCTAGAATCAAACAACTTGATATCGGGGGAAGAAAAGGCTACGAAAATCTTTACTTCTACTGCAATGCTTTCTGAAGTCCTCAGGACGGCATCTCCAGTAGGTGGGGCAGAAGAGCTCTCCCATTGCTTTATTATTTACTTTAGTCCTTGTTACACCCAATCACGAAACTTGAAATTGAGTTACATTGCTGCTTTCCATTCACCAGAAAGGAACAAGGCAAGTCCTATACAGTTAACAAAAAACACAGTCATTATTCCTCTCCTGAGCTCTCCTCTGCCCTGGTTGGCACCAGTCTTGGTCTGCACACCAGGCTCACCTTTTCTTTTAAGGTGACAGACGTGACTCCTGCTCTCCCGCTGTGTGGTGCTGCAGCTTGGTTTGCATTGGCACACAAAAGCCCACTTGTCCCTCATAGGAGCAAAGTTCCCACTGGTCACAGTGGAAGCCCCTTGAGAAGCAGATTTTACGATGATTGGCTGTACTATCACAACCTGATTGCAAATCTATTTCTGCCTATGGTCAACCAGAGTCTCCCAAATCTCTGCCCCTCAAACTAGAGCCTTGCTGACCAAGCAACACCAAGGGCAAACCACATTACAGCTGTGACCAGGGTTATTCCACGGCCTTGACAATTTGCTTTGGTTAATTGTACTGAAAAAAGAATTATTGGGCCCTTACAGTGTCTTAAACCTCTTATTTCCCCCAGTAAGTTTATTTTGTCCAGCACCTGTTCAAGGCTTTTTTTTTCAACTAGTTGGTATGCAATGAGCTGCCTTGGCTTTCCATAGTTCCTCAGTACAAAAAAAATGGGCCCAGACTGGTTGTAAGCATTGAGTGGGCTCAGTGAGACCAGAAAATGAAGAATGCTTTGCTGGTTAAAAATGCCATGGCCACAAAACACTAAGGCTCACCTACCACTTCTGACTGATAAGCCAGGCAGGATTCGCCAGTGCATAGGGGTTTTTTTCAGAAAAAATATAAAATAATATAAATTTGAGGGTGACAGAAGCCAAAAGACAACATTCCAGTTACGTTTTCCAGGAAAATCTCTCTCAAAAATAGTTTTTGTGCTGCCACAAGTTTCAGTATTTCTGAAGCATGTCCCTAAACCCTTCCTGCTGCCATTCATCCCTCCTGAAAGGGCTGCAAGGTGGCAAATAAGGGTTGAATCACCAAGCACAAGGAGAGGTGTGTGAGTGGGGGCAGAGAATGCAAATACAATGAAAGGTCCTGTAAACCTGCCTTACTGAGGGCCATCTGAGATGCTCTAGTCTCTGTAGAGAAAGGTTAAGAGGTCACTTGAACACAGCTTGCAATTACTAATATGGGGAGAAGACAGATGGGGAAAGACCTCTTTGGGAAAAGGCTTTGGCCACAAGGCTAAAACATAAGAAGTGCACAGTGCAGCACCACTGATATCTCGATCTATATTTTAATGTCCCAGAAGGGAGGACAGAATGTACGTTCTAGGCTTGCCTGTGGGACAAGCTCTTTTACTGAGCTCAGGTGGGTGCCTGGTTTCTGGATCCAGGTGAAGTTTAGGAAAAAGGTAGGCTATGACATGGCCAGGAAAATAACTCCAGGTACCCAGAGAGTTTTAAAAATCAAACAGGGTGGTGCCCAATAGCTCTGCTGCAAACAGAAAAGTGCTGCCTGTGTATTGCTTCCGGTCCTTGTGAGCTTCTGTTAAACTTTTAAAGGGAGACTTGCAATGAGAGCATAACTGAAATGAGGTATACAATACATAGCAGAAGTGGTCCTCAAAATTCAGGTCAGAAGTGCAGACATAGTGTTTGATTGGTTTAGGTTTTTTTGGTAAGCAACTGATAATCACTCTACAGTAAGCAATCTCTCTTTTTCATGGCACTGCATCAGTTACGGGACAGGTAAGCACTGTCAGCTGCAATCAGTGGAGGTGGAAGCAGTGTGGGTCCTCCGACAGGCAGCTCTCAGAGCTCCCCAGCAGATTGGGTGGAGAGCAGGTAACAGGCTACAGCCTCTCCACTTGCAGCCCTCTGCTCTTTCCAACATACAGAATTTGGAGAGTCCAAGACAGTAACACCAGATGGGAAAGCATGTGTTACAAGACATGGCTAACTAACTTTGAAAAGGTGGCTACCAGGTTTTTGTTTCCAAAGACTGTAATGCTGCCCCATACTCTAAAGCATCATAGCTCTTAATGTCACTAAACCAAAACGACTATCTGCTACTCAGACAAGCAGGGAAGTGGTGTCCTTGAGATACTGCTAAGGCAGCTCACTGCTGTTTTGGTGTGATTGGATGCTCCTATACCATGCAGTTCCAGGATTGAGATGAGACAGGAGGATATTTAAGTCAAAGCTAGTGAGGCAAATGCAAATAGAGAACCACTATTTCTGAAATAGCAATTTTTGCCCTTCCTCATGAGTATGTCATTCTTGAAGATTAGATCTAAACTTTTGTAGG